TTAACGAGAGGCGCGCGACGATCGTCGCTGGTGGGTGAAGAATGGCAGGTATCGATAGACGATAGACGATAGACGCAGGGTCTGGCGTAGGCTGGCGGCGGGCGGTGTGTTTGCGTGACTAGTGCTGTGGTTGCTGAGCGAACGGCGGCGAGCGTGGTGGTCCGGCCGGTCGCGACGCCAGGGACGACGTGTTGATAGACGGTGGGAAATGGGCGACGGTGGTCAGGTCGCGGGGAATTGAGCTTTGCGGCGTCGCGTCAGCGCCTCGGAGCGTCGTGAAGCTGGCGTGGCAGCGGGAAATTAGGAGTGAAGTCGGCACCTCTAGCTTGGCGCGACGGTTGGCGGAGCAGGGAGGCAGCGGCAGTGGCTTGCGATGGGCTTGGTCGCGCACTGCACGACGGCGCTGGTGTCGATAAGAAGCAACCGGTCACATGAAACTGCCTTCACTGTGCTGCGTCCGACTCGCGTCCTGTGGATGAGCTGGTGGATCAGTTGTGCGCGGTGACGATGATGATGCAGCCCGGATGCAGCCCGTGTGCCTGAAACGCGAGGCTGTGAGGGTCGAGAAGGGCCGCGAATAGCTACTGCCTTTCCACGTGACAGTCCCTGCCACCCCAGCACCCAGCAACACCTGGACAGGTAACAAGGCAGCTGTCACCCATGGTAGGTGAAACGTTGAGAACACAGCGCAGAAAGCGGCGGCCGTATCTCTAGAAGTCATTTGTCCAGCTACTGTGCTTTCTTTTCGCCGATCATCGTCCCGTGGCCGCGCCAGGGACCCGCGTCATGGAGCTACTGCTTGTTTCTTCCAGGGCGACCAAGGCATAAGATGAGCAGGAAGTCGCTCCTGAGAGCTTTCACGCGTTCCTTGTGGGCGATATGCACGAAATGCACGATGGACGCCTTGTGGCCTCCATGTCTCTCGTATGGATCGACGGCTTCCAGGCAGCAGTCAGCTGGTTTCACAGCCCGGCGCAGCCTTTATAGTCCGCATTGATTCAAAAATTCATTTCAGGACATGCTTCCTTTGCGCGCATTCCGAGTTTCAGTGCGATATCTATCAACAATGGCAGCTACCAGAACCTTACCCGCAGACTTGAAGGAGGACCTGCTTCGCACCCACGAAGGTCGGACATCCGTCCAGCCCAGCCCTCCACCCTCCACATTTACACTGCCCAATGGTTTCCTCGAAGGCCCAGCGCCCAATTTGACCAGGTCCAAAATTGATTTTAAAAAGGCTGGCCTGTTAGAAGACGAAAAGTCATGGGCTGTCATACTTGATGGTGTCCTCTCCGAAGACGAGTGCAACACTTTAGTTCAAGCAGCCGAGGCGACCACAAACGGCAAGTGGGAACGGGCTCTTGTTAACGTTGGTGGAGGCATGCAGGCCATGTATGAGGACACGAGAAAGTGTGGGCGCATCATCTGGGACAACAAAGAGATCATGGCCAAGCTCTGGGCGAGGATAGAGGCGTCGGTGCCTGAGATCCATCGATTGCACAACTGGGTCGACGTCACAGGCAACGGCCCAGCGAGACGCGGCGAGACGTGGAAGGTGACCAGACTCAATGAACGCGGACGCTATCTCAAGTACATCGGCGGGGAGTATTTCAAACGTATGTATTGTATTGCATCGTGCGACTATAGCTGCTGACTAGATCAGCGCATTGCGATGGGACCTACGAAACGCCCGACGGCACCGAGCGCTCTTATTTCACCCTGCATCTCTACCTCAATGACGCGGTATCGAAGAGCGGAGAGAAACAGCTCGAGGGTGGTGCCACTACATTCTTCAACAGCAGTATGAAGAGCCGTATAGACGTCGAGCCAAAGGCCGGACGCGTCCTGCTCTTCCAGCATCGTTTCCTTATTCACTCGGGCGATGACGTTGTGAAGGGAACTAAGTATACGTTGCGGACAGACATCATGTATGCGCTGGAGAAGGACGTGGCATCGGAGCCGCAGGAGTAGGCGCTCCAGGAAGAAGACAAGAGGAAAATCGCGCAGTAGTCGTAGGGCTTCGTTCCGTTGGATTCGCATGAGGTTTTATTAGCAGTATCCTCGAACAAGAGGCGACATCGCAAAGCGCACTTACATAGAGAAAAAAAGTTGAACGGCCTGCCTCGCCAGAGTAATCAGAATCGAATGATACCGTGCCCTCTTTCGCCCAAAAGGCTACTCGAAGTCAAGTACGCTGCGTATTGTACTACAGTGTCACCTCTCACCCGAAGGATCAAAGCACACAATCTTCGCACCGACTCCCATAGGGACACCAGTTCCACGCTCCCTCCCGCCGAAGCAAGGAAGTCGCGCTTTCTGGCGCCCTGAGTTTTCTGATGCCGGATGCAGACGTGAGTCACGCCAGGCTCTTACGAGCAGTACAGCCCACAAGTGGGCGTGATAAAAAGTGAAGATTACTCCGAATTTCTCATTTGCAGGGTAGGACATACTCTCGAAAGAGTGTCTGTGGGTGTGCAAAGAAACGCAGCGTTGGCAAGGCAGGCCGTTGGCGGAGCAAGAAATGTTTTTGGCGGGGTTTTGTAGCTGGCGCGCCGGCGCGCTAGTGCTCGGCTAAACTGCGCCCGTGACGCGGATCCACGTGGAGACTGCCCGCGTCTTTCCTCCGTGCCTACCGACCATGGTTTCCAGTCATCTCTTTCCTTTCGTCATTCGTCCGAGTTTGGAAATGCCGCAGGATTCTACAGGTTTTGGTTCATTAGATGTAGACGGCTTGATGTGGCACCCACACCGATCACTTTAGACATCACCAATGGTCGCCTCTTGCTTTATTAACAGTACTTATACGCAGCAATTACGACCAAGGTTCCTGGAGGTGCGATACATCTCTCTTTCGTAGAGCATCTCTTGCGTATGAGTCGTATGAAATGCGGGATGTGTGGTTGGCTCGTCGCCTCTGGTCACCGCAGTAATTACCTAGGTACGAGTGAATGCTCTCTCAATTTCACCTCATCATTCACTCTCCAACGACTTGAGTTATTTCACAATGCGTACTGCCCTTCAAACCTTTTTGGTTTACATTGGAGTGGACTGACACATCTGCACGACTATTTAAAATCGCGTGGTCCTCACAACAGCTTCCCAAACTCACACCCACAACCTGAACAACAACCATGTTCGAAACGCTATTCGGTGTTACGAAGAAGACCTTCCTGGAGAAGAATGTCGTTCGCGCGGGCGAGAACGACAAATTCTACGAAGACAAGTGCACGTTCTGTAAGTACTTCCCCCTATCTTGATGTGTAGCTATGTACTAATATTCTTAGGTTGGGGTCCATACGACGAAGATCATCGCGCTGTGCGCGTGCAGCCTTGCGATCACGTATTCGGAGACATCTGCCTCGAAGACATGATCGAAGCCCCGAATGGAGACAAATGTCCCATCTGCCGAGCAGTATGGTTTCAGCCTCCTACTCAAGTTTTCCTCTGGCGTATCCTTCTGGACAACTTTGTGCGTCTGCAAATTTGGGCAATATTCGCCTTCAGTCGACTCCAGGCGTTCTGGTACACACTCCAACCCTTCTGGTATAGACTTCCGGCCTGGATCAGGTTTCCAGTCAAGGCCGTCAACTCCTGGTTCTACATGTCGAACGTATGCTACCAGATTGACTTCGTCTTACAGCGCCTGACCGACATATATCCGAGGAACCCGCTCTTGCAACCCCAGCTGGCTCTGGGTATGCGGATTTACGCGATGGTTCAAGCCCTGTATGTTCATCTCATGATTTCATCAGGACGTTCCAGAGCCTTGGCGGTGAAGACCAGCATTTTCTACCTAGTAGACGAGCTTTTCCAGACGCCATGGCAGTGGCAGAAGCTTCCAGTGCTGATCCTCTGGGCCATCGCAATAAGCGCACCCGTGGGTTGCATGGACCTTCGACTATCGAGTCGGCGCGACCGTGTCATCTTCTCAACGACCGTATTCTCGGTTATATTGGTTCGCTTTTGCTTTGCTCAGCTCGTAATAGCTTTGCTATACGGAGGTACCGTCTACAATCCGTCGATTTTTTAAGCCCACCTCCGATCATAAGTTGGTTGGTTTTCAGCGGCATAGGTACGAGAATGTTTAAGCGTCGTTTATAGGCATCCATCTGCAATAAGCGTACTTCTACGCGTTGAGGTAAATTAACATTCTGTATCGTAATAATGTTCCTTGGTTCTTCCACTCCGTTGTCCAATATGCGCAAAGAGCTCTCTTCTCATTCGTCCAGCGTGGAAAACTGATTTGATGGCACCAACCAATTCCAACATCATCGTTATCCGTGGTTGCCCACCGCTCATCTATACTTAACACGCCGTTGCATTCCTTGCTGTACTAAACTAAATCTACAAAACTACCACCCAACTAAACACCAGCCATGTTCGAAAATTTCCTCGGCCTTTACGTCTCCAGAGATGAATTCTTGAATCGGCGGACCTTCCCGGCGGTACCGACCGACACATTCAACGACAACACATGCTGCCTCTGTTGGGAACCCTATGACAACAATACTCACGCCGGGATGCTCTTTCTTCCCTGCAACCACGTTATGGGCCGAGACTGTCTTGCCGAGCTCGTTAAATCTCCAGGTGGACATTTATGTCCTATATGTCGGTGCCAGCTGTTCGATCCGCCATTTGCTGTTAAAGATAAAGTTGGCCAGCTATTTTACGCTTGTGGCGTAATTTTCGCCGTTCTGATGGTTATGTTCATGGCGTTTGCGGCAACTTTCCTGTTGTGCGATGCTGTGATTTGGATAGACCTTATGATGAATGGGCAGGGTTTGACAGGCACATTGGAGACTCTGCGATAAACATGTTGTATGCTTGGAACACCATGTTCCTGCGGTTCTAGGCGCTGGTCGACTTCGCTACACAAACGGAAACATGATCAACATACGGCTCCGGGAACGACAAACGCGCGAAGACTGCAACCTGCGTACGAGGAGTTGAATCTCAGCGAACCCATCCACAATGCGCATGGAGGCGAACAATGCTGTTTCCTACCACACCCTGGACCCATTCTGCGACGCCGACATCACTTGAGATCTGACACCAGTCTTGTTCTCCCACTTCCCCCAATTGGTCGCAAGCCTACCGCCACCATCACCAACCGACCTTACCGTACGACGATGCGTTGCATTATAACTCGATACCGCTGGCAGACTGTTCATCGGGAAGTCTGGCGCAATAGTCGTCGCGCTCGGATCAGGCGGCGCACTCGCTTGCCACTCAACCTTGATTGAGTTATCCTTCGAAAGCTTGACACCGTTGTGCCAAAGTTCGAAAGAAACATCAGCGGGCCCGAGATTCACTTTGACGACGTAGTTGATGCGATGGTATCTCGGGCCGGAGTTCCACCAGTGTCGGTTTTTGAGCTTGAAGAGGGAGAGTGGGAGGGACGAGAAGTCGGATTCGATCTTGCAGATTGAGCGGCAGGCTGAAGATGTCAGTATCGTGCTTCATTGTAGTGGAAAGTTGAACTTACAGTTGTTCTTTACTATGGGAAGCTGAGATTTGTCGAGTTCTGTGCATATAACTTCCGTGGGATAGATTCTCGGTGGATTGGGGTTCTTGGACGAGGCTGGCGGGCACTTTCGTTGGAAGCTCTTTACTATTGGGAAGTCGCTCGATACCGGTTCACCCTGGCCTAGTTAGCGTCATGCTACCACAGTATAGATATGCGTTGCGCTTACCTGCTTAATAAACCAGTCGATGCAATCCATGACGTATTCCTTCTTGTCCAAAGGATCTAATTCCGTCCTCAACCCAAAGTGCGCAAGGTTGAACGGGTCGTACAGAATCTTGCACATTGTTCCGTATGATGCGCGACTGCATCGCCATCCTAAGATCGACTGTCCGGACTTGAGCTTCTGTACACGATCGGCTACGTTGCCTTTGCAGACCACGAGCTGAGGGTCAGGAGCGATGCGAATCTGCATGTGCTGCGCGTTGGAATAAGGTGTGCTGCCGAATGCGTATCGGCTTCGTAGACAGTTTTGAACGTATGCGGAGTTGCCAAGGCCACCGGAGAGGACGAGATGGGACTGAATTGGTAAGACAATGACCTCAAAGTAACATGTATCATCTGACTCACCACTTGTTCCGACGGAAACTTCTGAAGCAGACGAGCGAGCTGTTTGTCCATCATGGCGAAAAGCTTGGACACCTGAGCGTCGAAGAAGCCCTTCAAATCGTCGCTATGTGGCTGTCAGTCGATGACAACAACAAGAAGCGCACGCGTGAGTATGACCGTCGGAAGTACATATCGCCGCCGCTGATACCGCATTCTCGATTGTCGTACGCCTTGTCGAGCTTGGGTACCTGCACCGCAAAGGTCTCGGTATCCATCAAAGATTCTTCAGAACCGTAATCGCATTTTGCACTGGACGGTCAGTCACATTGTTTTCACACTAATTCGTGGAAATCACGAACTTTTGGTATTCCTTCGAGATGCGCATTTCCCAGGCGGCCTGGTTGATATCCGAAAGTCCCATTGGCTGTAGTCGATCGGCATTCTCTAATCGCCGTAGGACTTCTTTCTCGTATAAGCTGTCGAGCTGCGCGGCTCCGATGGTGGCACCTCCATGGAGTCAGTCAAGATTAGGTGTGTTGTCATGGAGACACTTACCGAATACAACGTCGATCTGTTCAAGACTAAAAGAACCATCTTGCGTTTTCTTCACTCGGAAGACTGATAGATCCTGTACCCGTTCAGCCGCCTAGCCACATTTTGGCACTTGAACACTGGCTCACCGTTGTACCTCCGCCCACGTCGCAGACGAACAGTATCTCGTTCCCCTGTTGGCAACGTTATCTTCTGCGCGAGCGCACCGAGATTTGCTACGCAACTCACCTTGAAGATACCAGGCATACTGCGCGCTGTATGTACCGCGGCTGCCTCAGCCTCCGTCAGCCCTATCGATGCTGTGTGGTTGGCGCATGATCCAAAGCCGGCCGCAGAGATCGTCTTTCGAAATCTCTCCACAGTGGGTATCGGCTTCCATGTCGTGGGTACCGAGAATATGAACTCGATTTTCGCGTCCTCCCAGCGGCTCGCGAGCTCGCCTCGTAGTCGTGCTTCGATCGTTCGGTAGAGGTAGCTGAAATAGTCCGTGTACCTGTCCAATCATTAGCTCGCCACGAGGCTGACTTCTAGAAAGCGACTTACCATTTCTCTACTTCGTGAATATGTGGTACTTTCGATGGCTCACTAGAATTAGATCTCATTTGTTCCAGTAGGTCTTCGTCGAGCATGATCTTGAACCACTCCCTACTCTCGTGACCTGCGCCACTACCCTCCTGTGCGGTTTCAGCAAGAAACCCCCATGATGACGGCGTTTCGGAGTTTTGTGGGTAAACAAGTAATGTCGGCACCTGCAATCAATTAGTTCGGATATCACAGTATGCGACCAGCGATCTAACCTTGTTTTCGTTTGCTTGTGTCCGGCCAGGCCATCGTTGGATATGGCGCACGCTATCGGATCCAGTCGCTACGTTGCAATATGCGACACCAGTACCTGCGGATTCGGTGAGCATTGATATACTATTAATCTGTGAGACGCTACTTACATGTCATTCCGAAGTCGATGGAAACGACTAAGTCCGGTCGGGATTGGGAGTATTCCATAATGAAAGTGTGTTTCGTATGTAATAGCGATTGTGGCAATATAGTTTGGCTTGGGTTAAACAAGGCGTAGTGATGCCCATCAAGTATGCATTCCGAATGCGAAATATGGCAAGGCTGAGATATGTCGGCACTCCCTGGTCAGCTGTTGGAGACATGTTCTTGGCTCAGCCTCACGCTTCGCTCCAGCCGACAGGTCGAGACCATTCTTAAAAAGTACACCTTGGGCTCTGCGGGGATGCCAATCTATTTGCGGCGGTGTTACGCGATGTTCATTCGGTGTGACAGACGGATATGCAGTAGGGACACGCCACACAGGCTCGTGCTGATGACCGTTCGGCGACAATGCATCTGGACCCCACACCATAGAGTTCAACACCATGTTGCTGATATTTGCCTCGTCAACACTTACCATTTCCGGCGAAGGGATGATGCGGTCAGAGCTTCGCAGCCTGCGCTAAGGTTGCACAGCTGAAGTATGCATATTTCTGATCGGGCTGCGCTAGCGAGAAAGCTTGCCTTATAGAACGGTATTCCAACTTCTTTCAAGAAAGTCCAAGGACTCGACATCTCTTTTAGCTCTGACTCGTAGTGTGTAATTGTTGTAACATGAAGCTCGAGCACAGGCAGGAAACACCGTCCCCGCCAGCGGCATCTGGTTCAAGTCGAGGGCAAGCGCCGTCTTCCTTCCCAGCAGGCGATGAAGCATCCAAACCAGGGTCAGCAGCGATATCATCAACGACAACGACAGCTGCGACACTACCCCAGACCGACCCGACGTCTGGTGCGTCCTCGCAAGCAGTGGCTTCAACAACTGTAACTCCGGAATGTCTCTCCGCGTCATGGAACGAGGCATCGAAAACGATGGTTTGTCCAACATCACTAAATGGACAGCTCACCGAACAGTCGACAAATTCTGCGTTCGCGACTGAATCTCTTGCGTCCCAATCGTCTACAAGCATCATCTCGGGTAGCCTGACTCCGACGGCGTCTGCTGGCTCATCGTCGGCTTCAAAAGGACTTGCAGGGGGCGCAGTTGCCGGAGTGGCGATTGGAATGTTGCTCGTCGGATTTCTGATCGCTGGAGCCTCATTCCTGTTCCTGTCACGCCGTCAGAAGAAAAAACGATACAGTCCAACGATAGCTTCACTTCCACCACATGCACCCAATAGCGGTACCGGCGGGCGATTGGAGAAAGCCCCGGCAGTTGTTACGAGCGCCTATGCTACAGATATCGACGATATGCTACCTCAGCCTGCATCAGATGATACCATCACCGACGCAGCCTTGAAGATACGAGACAACATCAAGAACCACGTTCGAGAGTTTTATCATGTCTCTCCTGTCCCGACAACCAGTATCAACCAAGCGAATATGAAAGAACTGGCGATTGCAACTGGCACAAGCTCTTCCGTACTTGCAAGTATGCTCTCGAATATCTCAACCAGAGCCGAAACGCTTCGCCTCATCGTAGCGTGGAGTGTGCTTTCGAGATGCACCGGAGAACGCGTTGAGAGCTTGCTTCCGGGTGAGCTTGCGCCGCTCGCCTCAGCTGTTCCTGGAAAAGATGGTAAAAATGCCGGTATGTTCAGCTCAGCCTCTCGAAGTCTGTATTGGGAAGCTAACTCCACAACTCAGCGCAATCCGCCATGTACAGCAAATGGAAGGCCATGACTGGTGCTCTCCTGCATGGTCGAGTTGGCCAGAATACGCAAGACCGATTCCACAGATTTGCCAGTGCGGCTGCAGACCTGGACGCCATCGTGGCGCCCTTCGTGCAGAGTGGCTTGGAAGCTCAGCGCAGCAAGAATCTGGACATGATTCTTGCGCGATCGGCAAACTTAGCGTTCCTACTCTTTGAACAGCCCGGAGTCTTCCGTTTCGGGTTTTCTAGCGAACATGGGGGGTTGGCAGTGTTCCCAGCATTGCTACAGATTATCGGAGACCAGGGGCAGGTGCTGGTGCCGTCACGCGTGCTGCTGGAAAAGGAGATTGCGGCATGAGAACGAGGTGTGGTGGGGCGAGAATGGCGTTTCATCGATAGTCTATGCAGTATGCAATGCACCAATTGATCAGCTGAGATGCGTCTGGGATATGGCGATGGGTGCGGGCGGAAACGCACAGGAAGAAGGGACGAGGCTGAAGAGCGAAGTTGATGCTTGCTTTTGCACTAAACTCTATGTGTCTTAGCGTCAGTGCCACCGGCGCGGAGAAGGAGCGTCCCTTACTGCTCTGTCCAATCTGCGACTCGCCATCGCGACACACGCAGCAGCCACTCGGTCGTGAGATATACTTAGCTCGATGAGTTCCATTATATGGTATAGGCCCGGCATCATGGCCCGCGGAGTAACGACCCTATGTTTAGGCGCAGACGCATGAGCTCAGCCCGTGGAAAGAAGCATTGAGCTGCAGATCGGTTCTCGAAGCACTGCGACACAGCATGAGGGGTATTCCAGTGCCCGCAGGTTCAGCCTTGTTGGTGCTTTCGCTGCTTACAGAGTGTTGGGGGTCTATGAGCCGCCCATCGGCAGCTGTCATGCTCGTGAACATGTTCTTCACGACCTGCATCTCCGTTCCATCATGAGCATCAACCGTCGTTAGGGAGCTTTTCCATTACTGTCCAAACTGACCAAAGTCTCATAATATGAGTGGACTCATAGGTATGAAAGCTGTACGATCATAGCGCAGCGCAGGGCTTACTATGTAGCAGGTATACCCACGAGATCCGCCAGCGTCAGCAAGGCGTTTCAGTTCGCTGATCTTGCGATACGTAGCGCAGACATCGGAAGCGAGAGCGAGGTCTTCTTGCGAACGATACGAATCGTTCGTAACGACCTGTCCGAGGTCGAGCGTTTGGTTGCCGTTGGCTCGGTACGGACAAAACTCGCAAACACACCCGAAAGGCTCCCTTGGATAAGGAGTTGTATCGAGAACACCACCTCTGCCTTGGAGGAGATCGGTAGATGGGTGGACTGCGGCAGTGTCGAGCAGCATCGCAATATCTTGGACCAATCTCAGAAACTTCGACACATTCTCAAAGACCGAGAACGACTAGCGGACCGCAAGAGCGAACTCATGGTATGCCATCAACAGTTATCGAATGTACTCAGCTTCCTTAATCGCTTGGGGGACCTTCCCAGTACTGGGGCGCTTCCAACGTATCAGGATACCACCTACTTTGATGACATCGTGTCGCGGCACAGAAGATTAACCGGCCACGCTCAACTGGGTGATGGCTCACCGAAGGCCTTCTTGGGAGACAGCAATCGAGCGACATCTTACCCAGCCAACAACACTCCGTGGCCAGCGAACCAGAAGTCGTTCTTTACCGAAGCACCATACACACAGGACGCGACGACCATGGATGCGGTGAAGTCCACCTTACGATCGTTATGTGGACAAATGCAAGTAATGCCAGACCACCTAGACTACAAGCCATATAACTCGCGATATCAATCGCCTCCCAGCCTACCAAGCAGTCCGCCCCCTACATATACATCGGCTGAACAGCGCAGTCCCCGCTCGGAAACATTGCTCGAAGATACCAAGCGTCATCTCAATATTGATCAGCCGATCCATAGAAGCTCGCGGTCATCGCTGAGTGATGTCCGTGATGATGCGCATATCATACCGTCAGCTCGAAAAGACAAATGGGCCTATACGTATCCAGAGGCACATCCAGCGCCCGTAGAACTGGCAGGCGATAGCTTCATGAGTGGCACAAACTCGGACGGACCAGTAAATCCGTATGCGTTCCATCCTACCGCGCCAACTCTAGCCCCAAGACCCCACGTCTTCCAAGACAAGAAGTTTGGGAAATTATCGGAGTTGATGGGGGATGTGAATCTGGCAGTAGAGCTGCCAGGTAGCGAACCAGCTCATACTTCGAGACATAGTCAACGGCTCAGTTCGCAAACGACTGACTATGAGTTGCCTGCGAGCCAAGCATACAACACAACATTTGCTTCAGAATTACCGGCTATCCCGATACGCAGACCCGTCATCTCGCATACGGTCAGCGAGCCGACTGCTACCGCCAACGAAACGTCAGTCGCGCCGCCGAGATTCGAGCTTGATTCCGTCTCCTCTCGCACACATCCGTCTCTGGCCACACGAGATCAGGCTGGGACTGGTAGGCCTTGGTCCGGGTCTTCTGCCTCTTCAAGCCCACGACTACCGGTGAGCAGCACCGTATCTTTGAACAATGCAACAAACGCAGCTCCACTCGCGTCGCAAGCAAGCCATGGTCATGAACGGCCCCTATCATCGCATGCGCCACAATCAACAAACAATACATCATCAGCGAGGATGAGACGTCAGAAACATATGTTGGATCTACTTGATAGCATTGATAGATGACATGACTAGGATGAACAATGGTCCCATGATACCAGACAGCGAACAATAGACCTGATTCGAAATGATTCCATCGTCAAGCAGCGTGTACACTCTCTAGCATCTCAACCTTCCCGTTTCTGAAATACCCCAACCTCATACTCGTCTCCATCTTGCATGAGCTTAACCTCAAGCTTCTCCAACGGACCTTCATTCATCGCCTCGGTTACAAGACCAGGGAGGGCGTTGTACGTCTTTCGGGCCAAGATCTGCACATCTTGCGCCTCATTCCTCAGCCCGCGGGCTCCAGACTTGTCCCTGTATCCTCGCTTAGCCAAGTGACCACAGAGCTTGCCGTCGTCTTGGTAGCTGATGTGGCAGTGGCCCATGTGCCGTAGGACTTCTGGGCGCAAATCAATGTTCTTGCGAACCTTCGCCGCGTCGTCGAGGAGGAATTTGTGCGTTACGACGGCTGCCTCACCATGCGAGAAGGGGAAGAACGGGACGATCCTGTTGATGCGAGATGCGAATGTGTCCTGTTCACGTTAGTCATTTGTTGTCGTGGTGATCAGGGTTGGATATCATACTCCCCAGCGGCCTTCGAAGATATCCTTGAGATTGCGCATGAGGGGCGCTAGATTGGCACCTTGCTTCTCCTCGTCTGTTAGTTGCTTGAGCTTTCGTTCGTAGTACGACTTGATCTCCTCTTGACCCAAGTTGCTCGCCAGTACCCATATAGTCTTGCGACAATCGACCTTGCGATTGTTTCTTCGGTCTACATATTTACCTGTCATTTGTGTTAATTGAAACGTGTGCATTAGAGCGGAAGGAAAATGTTCTGACCTTCGGTAGTGTCTAGAATCGCGTCACAGATTTCTTGCGACGTCTTGTCGAACTCATCGAGGAAGACCACCGTACATTTGCCAGTGTTGTCTGACAGGAGATTATTGAGCCTGGAGCCCTGATCTGAACGTTTATAGGCTTCTTTCGAGCCGAGAAGCTCAATGTCGGAGTGCATTTGCGAACATGAGATCGTTTCGGATTTGACACGCAGCAGATCTCCCAACCTGTCAGCGAGCTCAGTCTTCCCATGTCCTGGAGGGCCAGCAAACACCATAACGAAAGGCTCTGGACCATCTTGGTTGGCGGCTATCTGGTTGAATATCCGCTGCTGCATGTCGTGGAGCACGGAAAGTTGGCCGACGATATGATAGGGGAGCTTGAGAAGACCATGCACCTGTAAGAGTTTGGCGGCTTGTAGTTCTCTGTCTTCGAATCGCTGGATCAAGTTGGCTCGGTGGAGATAGTAACGCTGAGTGAGGTTGAGGCCGCGTGCCAGAATGGCTCGGGTAGACGGGTCGCACCACGTAAGGGGCGAAGCCTTCTCGTTTTCCTGAGATGACCAGGTCTCCGAAGGTTTCCGCAGGTAGTCTTGCCACATGTCCTGGGGAATCGTCTTGGGATCAGCGCCACCCGCAAGTAAGAGCTTTACGATCGTGGTCGTATCATGTAGGTGGATATGACCATGGATGACCGCAAAGGCAAGCGCCGGAATGAAGTGCGTCGCGTCAGTGCAACCCTCTGGATTGAAACCATAATCTAGAAGGACGTTGACCAGCTCAGGCGAGTTCCTTCCGATGGCGTAGTAGAGGACGGGCGTAGCCTGATCGACTATTTCCTGGAACTCCTCCTTGTCGTTGCGATAGTGCTCCAGATACTTCCTCACTGAATCAGCGCTGCAGCCGTGTGAGATTGCCGTACACAGTTGGATCGCATTGAACAGTGCAGATCCTCTGGCTTCCAGGAGCTCGGCGTCCACTGTCATACCAGGGGAGTTTCTTGAAGCATCCGGTAGATGGTATTTGTCCTTGAGACCCATGATGTACACACACATCTTGCCGTGGTTGAAGGTCGCCATTCGTGCTGATGATCGCTGAATTGCTTGAGGAGATGGTTATCTTGCATAGGTTACAGCGTTGGGACTTATGTAGCAGACAGATCCAACCAGTCAAAGCGAGCCAAAAGTCAACAAACATTCAGAAGGTTCGGGAAAGGAGATGATGATGGTAGTAATGACGCGCACCGCGAAGCTCTGCCTAGACCCTACAGATACGAAATGCAAGTAAACCGACGGGTCGAGTTGGGTGTGCGTTGTGACTGGGTATTTCGGTAGGCGGCATATGTTCGCTGGCCGGAAGCAATCATTCCTCGGCGCCCTCCATTTCGACATCTCCCTCTTCACCCTCTTCTTCTTCTCCGCCTTCGGCCCACCATAGAGTCGGACCAAGACCAGGTTGAGCCATGGAGCCCTAGACCTCACGTTAGACATTATATCAAACCCAAATAGCACACGACTTACTATTATCTTCCAGGCTGTCGGTCTCTCTTCAATAATCTCGCCTTTCTCATCCTTTTCAATAATAGTCGGTCTCTGGTCATACCATTCCTCATGCTCTACCCTGAATAGAACTGGCTCGCCCTTATCGAAGAAAAGTTCTGTGCCTTCAGAGTTCCAGATCCACACCATCTCAGCCTTAGAGAAGGACGAGTTCTCCGGTAGATTTTGGTAGGGAACGAAGACTTCCGAGGTGAATTCCAGATCAAGAATGATGCCTTCTTCGTTGGATGACTTGATCCGTCCATAGATGATTTCGCCACGGAAAGGGCGGAAGACAGTCATGCGGAATTCGACTGCGTTGCATGTAAGCGGCGTTTTCACGAGGGATGTAGTAATACCTACTATTAACATTGACAAGCCCAGTCCCGTGACCGATCAAACCTTCGGTCGCTGAAATGAGATCCCACATGCAGAGGCATAGGCCAATGCCAGGAACGATCCTGTTGCTGTACTTGTCGTTGACTACATCTTTGATAGCTTGCGCGCTAGGCTTCTCGAAGTCCTGCGGCTTGATTTGTATCAGGTCTTGAATCGTGGTCTACGAATCAATCAGTACAAGATCATCAATATGTACACGACGCGATTCCCAGCGACTGAGCTTTACGCGTAGTAACAGCCAAGTCCCGTCTTTCTCTTCGGCTCAAATTTTCTGACGCGCAGCGCGAAAGCGCGTAGGGTATGAAGACGACAATCGATATGGGAGCAACTTACAAGTATGAACATGATCGCAGCTTTGGAGGCTTCATGGGTATAAGAGCAGAGAATCGGTCGCTACCTGGACATGGTGGATATAGACAATGGAGTTGATGGTGAGAGCCCTCTGGGTGACCACTAGCGTCGCGCTAGTGGTATCGATAAGGAACTTTTGGGATTTGCGGACTCCCGAGGCGCGTCGCATGTCCTGCAACTGCCTTCCCAGCGTTTTCGCGATTTCCGCCCTACCATCATTCGCTTCTTGTAACTATTAAACCTAATGTCTTAGCACTTTTTATTCGCGCGCAACACGATTTCTCAACCACGATAATGTCGTCCTTCAGATTTCCTCCTCCGCCTCCGCCGCCGCCGAAAGCTACATCCAGCGAGCAACCATACGCGAGTCAACGGGGCGGCCCTGCCCGAGGAGGCGGTGATAGGGGTCGCGGGAGAGGCGGCAATCAAAACCGTGGAGGGGGCTTCAATAGCTCTGGAGGCAATCCAAGAGGTGGTCATGGGCAGAGTCGCGGTCGCGGAGATGGGCGCGGCAGAGGAGGCCAACGAGGGGGCTATCAGAACAACAGAGGCGGCGCAAATAACAGGGGAGGTTACAATGCCGGCAACGGACAACATCAGACGAATGCGCCGCCCAACAGCGCCTCCCCGAATGCCTACAACAATTCGTCCTTCACCGGCGGCGCGCAAACACATAGCGCGACACAGCAGCAATACGACCCCAACGCTCTCGCCCAGGTCATGTCCTATATGTCGACACCGGCCGGCGTACAATCGATGGCAGCGTACGCCAACCACATGACAAGCACAAGCAACGCCTCCTTTCCCCAGTCACCACAGTCCCATCAGTACCAACCGAGCCCTCAGTATTCGCCGCCTCAACACGCCGGTCAAAAGAGAAAGTTGAACGACCGGAACAGCAATGCACAACAGCAGCGGAACCCACCGCAGCCAAGTTCGAAACCACCGAGGGCCAAGGCTGCCGTACCCCCACAGGTGCCCAGCTTCGGCTTCTCCCTGCCTCCACCTCCCGTGGTGCGACCGGACAACAAGAAGCGCAAGGTCAATCTAGGACTCTCAAAGCAGCGAGTTCCTGATGAGAGTAGCGATGAAGAGGACATTGACGAAGAAGCCGCGTATACGGAGAAGCTCAAAGGCGGAGGCTTCGCGTTCGAGCACGGGGGAGAGATGATCAGCATTCAAACGGGAGCTGAGGTCGCTGCATGGATCAAGGACAGGAGGAGGAACTTCCCCACACAAAAGAGGATCGTGGAGAAGGCAGAGGAAGCCGCGAAGAAACGAGCAGCCGAGATAGACTTTTTGCGCAGAGTCAGCGGCAAGCCTCCGAGAGAGCACCATGTCGACGATCAGATTCAACAACCCAAGCCCCGCGAAAGGAGGCAGGAAAACACGATTAAGAAGGAAGACGGCGCAAAACGGGATGCCGAGAACCGCAGACAAGAAGATCTCGCGGCTTTACGGAAGAAACTTCACGAGAGCATGTTAAAGAAGCAATCTGCGCCGAGCGTGGTGGATCTGGGTTTAGGATACGAGAGCGAGACAGAGTCTGAGGCCGAAAGTTCAGTGCTATCCGAGTCATCTGTGGTATCAAGTTCCGAAGAAGAGGAAGAGGAGTCCGAGTCCGAGTCAGAAGACAGCGACGAAGCGCCAGAACCCACATCTTCAAAGATTGCTCCACCAGTCATTCGAGTTCCTCCTCCCCCGCGGGCACCAGTCGCCGAAAAGAAGGAAACGAGTGTGTGTAGCAATTGGAAGCGCAACGGGAAATGCCCGTATCTCCGCAAATGCAAATTCCAACATCCTCCCAAGGAAACAAAACTACAGGGATTGTACGAGCGCATGGTAGAGCAGGAGCTGATCAAGGCAGACCAATTGGCACTAGACGCTATCAAATACTTGGGACAGCATGGGTTCTTGGGCTAAGCGATGCTGAACAGGCATGCGCGCAGTGCTCCGATAGTTCATTCTCCAATGACATATGTACAACCTTGGTTCCCTACCCATACTTCGTGCACCTTGTTCGCATCGACATCCCACCTAGCGCCGGGGCCTATTGTTTCCTTTGTCGCGTCGGGGTCATCAGGATATGTGTACGTTATAGAGCCATTGAGTACAAGATGTGTCGTCTTCCCGCTGTGCTTGTGTGGCGAGTAGTGCGCATTGCTATGAGGAAGTTAGTCTATATTCAATGTAGTAGAGCAGTTCTATACTCACGGGCTATCGGTCCACGTAAACACATGGTCGAATCCCCAAGACCGGACTTCGCTCTCTGCTTCTTTCCGTGACTTGACCATTGTGAATGTGATTTGTGTCAAGAATGTCAGTGCTCATGGAACGATGATATCTTTGGCCATGCTGGACCCTGAGTGACGTCGGTGGGCTTGGCGAGGCTGCAGAGGCACATGTCAAAGCTAGACCCTTTTCACTCAGCGCCGCAAACAGGGCAGCCCCCATTCATTCACCTTGCGCATGCAGCAAACGTCGGAAGCTGCGTGTCAATCTCTAGCAGGTATTAGCGATGCATGTGCTCCACCAATTGGATGATCAAACGCCGATGCGGCAAGCCAAGGCAGGCACGAGCTGACCATGAGGCTATTGCGCCCGCGTCAACGTCGCGGCCCGCACCCCTCATACCTTCACAACTAGATCCCGCTACCACTCCACAAAGGCTTTGTAGTCGCGATACCAAGTTGCGCATATCTTTGGTGCGTATTGCATGTATGTTAACTATACCCGCCCATCAACCAATTGCGCAATTGGGAAGGAGATACTGACACCTCAGAGCCAGCTGAGCTGCCTGGATTCAGCCATTACTCAGGTACGCATACGCGTCCAGGATCATACACCGCTGCCACTCTGCACTTTGCTGCCGCCTATAAACCCTTTCGCCGTCCCTCCTGACTTTATTCTCCCTTCGACCCCGCTGTATTCGTAACATCAACACAAGATGTTGCCCGACAAAGACAGCAAGAAAGACAGCAAGCTGGGTACGCCCAAGGTCGACAACCCCGAACTTCAAGCAGGCGGTGGTACAGCATCCGCCTCTGTTGCAGCTCGCAAGGTCGATGCCTTATCACCACTCCTTACGCAACACCTCAAGAGAGTCTACGACCAGATCACAACGCGCTACGACTTGACGACAAAGAAGGGGCAACAGCAGTGGCTGGTCGAGGAGCAGGAATGCTCAGGACAGAACGCTGAGCTTCTGGCCGACGGCTCATTCTCCAACTTCGCCAACTACTTCATGTCGGGCTCAGCAAGCGTCCTGAAGCCTGCGCAACCAGTCGACGAGTCGCATCCCATCTCCAACTACTTCATCTCATCGAGCCACAACACATACCTTACCGGCAATCAGCTGTCAAGCGACGCCAGCATTGATGCCTACAAGAACGTCCTGATGCGAGGCTGTCGCTGCGTCGAGGTCGATGTCTGGGACGGAGACGAGCTTTCCGACTCCAGCTCTGACGAGGAAATGGCGAGAGGCAACCCAGGATCAAATGATGCGAGAAAAGACAAGAAGAAATCAAAGTCCGGTCTGAGCATTCGTCAAAGGCTAGCCCAGAAGTTTGGCAGCAAGGACAAATCCGCGGAGGAAGAACAAGAGGCATCAGAGCCTTCTCACGAGGACGCCAACAAGGTTCAGCCCTGGCATTCCGCTTCCTATACATCGAGAGCCGAGCCTAAGGTAACCCACGGTTACACTTTGACCAAAGACATGACGTTTCGCGCGGTGTGTGTAATCATCAGGGACTACGCATTTGCCGTGTCGAACCTGCCCCTGATTGTCAGTCTCGAAGTACACGCTGGTCCAGAGCAACAGGAGATCATGGTCGAGATCATGAACGAGTATTGGAAAGGCATGCTACTTGAGTTACCTCTCGATCCAGCGCAGGGCCTGCTCGAAGCCCAACTACCCACACTGAAGGAGCTGCACAACAAGATCTTGGTGAAAGTCAAGCGTGGACACCTAAAGCCAGCCGCGGCTGAACCACAACCAACAACGCTTGCCGCGCCAGCTGCAGCGCCCCAGCTACAACATACCATGAGCACCGAGTCTGCAGCGTCGGACGACTCTAAAGAAGCCGGACCAGATGGCGAGAACAACCCTCCAGCGCCGAAACCCAAGGTTGTTGAAGCGCTATCACGATTGGGTGTTTACTTGGGAGGATACTCGTACAAAACTCTTGATGCTCCAGAAGCGAAGGTTCCTACCCACGTGTTCTCTTTGTCAGAAGGTACACTGATGGAAGTTCACGAGAACGACCCCGTCCGACTCTTCGAACACAACAAACATTTCTTCATGCGCGCATACCCCAAAGGCACGCGGTTGACATCAACAAACTTGAACCCTTCCGTCTTCTGGCGTGCGGGTGTGCAGATAGTAGCGCTAAACTGGCAACGCTGGGACGGCGGTATGATGCAAAACGAAGCCATGTTCGCAGGCACCGCCGGATGGGTTCTCAAACCAGAAGGCTACCGCAGCACAAGCGAAGCAGCGACACAGAAGACCGCGATAACTCATCACGACCTCAACCTAAGCATTGAGTTCTTCGCAGGACAAGACATCCCTCTGCCGCCCGACGAAGACGATCCAAAGGATCTCAAGCCTTATGTCAAGGTCGAGCTGCATGTTGAGTCGCACGAAGAGCGCAACTCCGAACATGTGCCCGGTGATGGAAAAGGCACGAAGACCATCGACCCCGACCTGAAGAAGGAGACCGAGAAGGCAAGGACCACGAACCCCGATTTCGGTGGTGAAATGGTCAAGTTTGTCAATGTTCCTGGTGTTACGGAAGAATTGACATTCGTCAGGTGAGTCTCATCTCTTTTCTTTTGCTACGTGTCAGGCACATGCAGGTCGCCATGAGAGCCTCAAGCATCAGCCTCGCACCCACCCACGGATGCTTCTGCCGGTCTACCAAGAGAGGTCGTAGAATGGCGGTCATGGGGTCCGGTCGGGTGACATTGCATCATTTCGCTGCATACGCGCCATC